ATCTCTCAAGGTTCCTGACGGGTTTCTGAAGGACCTGAGGATTCCTGAAGTATGTCTGACGATTCCTGAAGGATCCTAAGGATTGCTAAGGAGTCCTGAGGAGTCCTGCAGGATTCTTCCTGGAAGTTCCAAGGTCCCTGGAAGATGTATTAGGTTTCCGGTGGATTCCTTCAACAAGGACTTCTGGAGACCCCTGGAGGATGCCTGAAGGATCCCTGAACGATGTCGGAAGGATTCCTGAAGAATTCCTGCGGGCTCCTCAAGAATCCTGTTCCTGAGGGGTCCTGTGGTTTCGTGCACTCGGGGGTTCGGGCAGTTCCCGAACCCATGCAGAAGAAGAGGGTGGCCGAACGAGTCGCTTTCCCCCACCGCCGCCGCCGAGTCGTTCGGCCGCGTACCCCCCCAGACCCCCCTAGAGGGACACTAAACGAGAACCCCTCCTGAAGGTCGGGAAAAAACCTCAAGGAAATATATTGAATTTGCCTCTCCGAGCTCTCCTGGAGGCCCTCCTGAAGGCCTCTTGGGCGGTCCAGGGGGCTCAGTGGCCCACTTTGAAACCATCTTGGGCGTCTTGGGCCGATCTCTCGGCGACGTCGTGCCCTCTTGGACCATCTAGTGGGCAATGGGGCCTCTCTTAAGGCGCTCCTGGCGCCTTCGTGGGCAGTCTTGGCGTCTTTACTGTGCTCCTTTGCCTGCCGGTGAACCCGCGCACCCCCGAGCGCAATCCTTCGCCGCGTTCCCCCCTTCCGCGGGCTCGCCTGGGCCGCGTGGCTGCTGCCGGTGGTGGACGGCACCGCGTACGTGGCGGCGTTCACCTGGGCCAGAGGGCGCAACTCGGGACCCCCCGCTGCTGTGAAATGCAAACGTCGGAACCTGGACGATTCCGAACACCATGGACCCAAAGACGTTTTCATCTCTTCGGGGCGCCGCTTTTTACTTCCACCGCCGTCCGCCGAGCTTCCGCCGGCTTCCGCCGACGGAGGCGGTCTCTTTGTACTTCCGCCGACCTTCCCCCGCCCAAATCGAGTCCGAGCACATGGGGGCGGAGGATCGCCGATGCATCGGTGGTGTCGGTGTGGAAAAATCCAGCTTCACATCGAGTCGCATCTCCGATGCATCCGCGATGCTGCGCGATCCTCCGACCCCATCTGCTTGGACCCCATTCATATGAGAGAGCGTGATCCACCGCCGCTTTACTGTGGAAAATTCCCCTCCCTCTTCCTCCCCCCCCCTCCGAAAATCCCCCCCCCCCTGCTGGACCCCCCCCCCTTCCCCCCGCAAAATCCCCCCCCCTCCCCTAATCCCCCCCCCACACTCCAGAAAACCGGGAGGGTCACTACCAGTTCGAAGCCCCCCCCCCGGGGCCCCTCATCGAAAACCGAGGGGGGTCACTACCAGTTCGAACCCTCCCCCCCCACCCCAGAAAACCAAAGGGGTCACTACCGGTTCGACCCCCCTCTTTCGAAAACTGGGGGATGTCACTACCGGTTCGAAGCCCCCCCTCTCCCCCCCTCTCCAAAGCCGAAGGGGTCACTACCGGTTCGAACCCTTCCCCCCCCCCCACGCTCACCGCCAGCAAACAACTCTGGGTCCCTACCACCTTCCTCACCACATCCCCCACTGCTGTCCCCAGCACCACTTTCTTCACCACCATGTCCCCACTGTTCCCACCACCATCACCACTGTCCTCACCAGTGCCCCCACCACTGTCGCACTGTCCCCACTGTCCCCACCACTGTTCCCACGTTCCCACCACCGTTCCACTCTCCCCACTTTCTCCACGGCCCCAACCACTGTCCCACTGTCCCCACTGTCCCAGTGTCCCACTGTCCCCGCCGCTGTCCCACTGGGCTGTCCCACTGTTCCCACCACTGTCCCCACTGTCCCCACCACTGTCAATACTGCACCTCTGTCCCATTATCCCACTGCCGAACTCGCCACCGCCCTCACACCTGTCGCCACCACCACTGTACCCTTCACTGTCCCACTGTTTCCACCACATTCCCAGTGTCCCCACACCACTGTCCCAACCACCACCGTCCCCACCAGTGTCCCACTGTCCCCACTGTTCCTACCAGTGCCCCCACCAGTGTCTCACTGTCCCCACTCCCCCCAGCCATTGTCCCACCACGGTCTCACTCTCCCCACTTTCCCCACGGTCCCCACCAGTCCCACTGTCCCCACTGTTCCCACCACTGTCCCACTGTCCCCGCCGCGGTCCCACTTTGCTGTCCCACCGGCCCCACTATCCCCATCACTGTCCCACTGTCCCCACTGTCCCCACCACTTTTCCCACTGTACTACTGTCCCACCACTGTCCTCACCACCGCCTTCACCACTGTCCCCACCACTACCGTCCCCACCACTGTCGCACTGTCCCCACCACTGTCCAGCTGTCCCCTCACCACTGTCCCCACCACCACCGTCCCCACCACTGTCCGCACCACTGTCGCACTGTCCCCGCACCTCTGTCCCCACCGCCACCGTTTCCACCACTGTCCCAACATCCCCACCATTCTCCAACTGTCCCGAGGAGCGGGCATCGTTTGCCGGCGGCGAGGGGGGGGGGGGGGTTCGAACTGGCAGTGACCCCCCCAGATTTTCCAGGGGGGGGGGGGTGGGGGGGGTTCGAACCGGTAGTGACCCCCTCACTTTCCGAGGGGGGTTGGGGCGGGGGAAGGTTCGAACCGGTAGTGACGCCCCCCCTTTTCATGATGGACTGGGGGGGGGGGGGTTCGAACCGGTAGTGACCCCCCCCCCGGTCCACCCTCATAATAAGCACCCTGGCAAACGAGGCTGTTACGTGAACGCGCCCTAGGAAGGAGTCGAACAGGCAAGGGCTGTTTCGTAAACACCGAAGGCCGTCAGCAAAGGCCGAGGATCTGGGACGGGGTCGTTTTTTCCTCCTCTGACGCTTTGGAGGCCTGGAGGAGAGGAGACAGAGAGAGGCCTGCCAACAGAGCCCGAGCTCACGGGCGTGCGGACACATCCACGCCCGTGCCCTGGCGGTCTGGACTCCGGGGCGCGCCCCCGTGGATGCGCAGCCGCATATGGGTGCGGTTGCGGCCGCAGGGGCCCGGCCCGCCTCCTCCTCCTCCTCCTCCTCCTGCTCCTCGACTCCTCCTCCTCCACCTCCTCCTCAACTCCTCCTCCTCCTCCTCCTCCTCCTCTCCCTCCTCCTCCTCCTCCTCCCTCCTCCTCCTCCTCCTCCTCCTCCTCCTCCTCCTCCTCCTCCTCCTCCTCCTCCTCCTCGTTGGCCACATATGGATGTGCTTCTCGCGCCCACGACGGAACTCGACGAGGCAGGGGGGAGCCCTCTGTGGGCCCCGGAAACGGCAGGGCCGTGTTTTCACCGTCTCCAAAAAAATGCCCCTTGAACATGGAAGCGGCAAAACGACGGCGACCGGAAACGGCAAAAAACGGCTCCAGGATCGGAACTGGAGCCGGAACCGGTCAAAAAACGACGACGGAACCGGTAAAACAACGGCGTCGGAACCAGCAACAAAAACGGCAAACGGAACCGGTAAAAAAACGGCTCTGTCGTTTCCAGGGCCCACTAAGGGGGAACCTGGTTCAGGCGCCCCCACTTCGGTGGCCACGCATGGGAGCCTTCCATACCGTCTTGCCGGCTCTTGCGAGTCGACGCTCGTCGACGCAAATCGATGCTAGTCGACGCTGAGTCGACCCTGAACCTGCGCTAACCGACGCAAGGTCGGATCTATCCCATCGACTCATAGACACTAATCGACGTGAATCAACGCTAAAGACAGAATTCAAAGTGTATACCGTATACCGAGCTCCCATGATTTGCCACCGAATGGCCTGGTTCAGGCGCCCCACGGAGATGCGCCACGGAGTCGAGTCCAGGCGCACCTCAATACGACTGAGAAAGGCCGCGTTTGGGGAGGCGCACCTGTCGGACCGTGAATCCTAGGCCGCGACTTGGCCGACACACCCAGGACATCAAAGCACCCAGAAGTGGAGATTTGAGAGGCGCTTGCTGGCGACGGTGTTTAGGGAGCTCCATACTCCCCCATGCCCAAATCTTCTGGAGCTCGTTCCGAATCTGGCACACGTGGTAATCACACTCCCTACGACCATTGCGGCTACTCTGCGGCGCGGCTGGGTTCCTCAAAGGACTCCTTTCGAACCAACACGCGGACGGACAGACGTTCTGGGCTCAAGCGAGGCTTGGGCCTTCCGCGCGCGTTGGTTCAGAGCGGCTCCGCGCGCAGGAGCCATTCGCATGCAGATCGTGGTGGCTGCGGCGGCGTTCCGTGCTGTGGTTGACGCCCTCTCCGTCCTCGAGTCGCAGGAGGTGCAGGTGCTAGTAGTCAGCACGGATGAAGAAGTCAAGGGTCTCGCTCTCTTCCAGCGCCAGTCCGAGGAGGTCTGCGCTGAGCAGGGCGAGGAACAGATCGAGGAGTGCAAAGCGGTCCTCGAGCCGCGGGTGCGTGGCGCCATCACCCCTGAGGCTCCGCCTTCGCTCGCCAGTGCGAAAGCAGGCGGCGCAGGTGCGGGCACCGCAGGGGTCATCACGGGCATCGGCAAGGAGCACTTCGAGGAGCTCTTGGGAGCGGTCCTCACGTTCTTTGGCGGCCCGAGTGGAGCTCAAGGCATCGGCAAGGAGCCGATCGACGAGCCCTCTGGCGAGGGCCTCCCCCCCGTCTCGGAGGCCACCCTTGCGGAAATCAGGGCGAAGTTCCGTGCAAATGGGGTGAGTGCCCGCATGGCGAGGATGGCGCAGAATCAGCTGCCACCGCCCCCTTTGCCATCGCTGCAACAGCAGACCAGGCTGGCAAGCAGGTGGCACCACAGGAATGCGCGCCGGCCAAGGCGATGCCACCTCTGCAGCTCTCGGAGCAGCAGGTGGCTCGGCGGGCCGGCACGTCGGCACAGAAGGGGCCATCGGCGGAGCAGCTCCGCCTGCACCGCAGGCTGGATGTCATCAGGAAGCGGCAGGAGGAGATTGCTCAAGCATTGGGGCTGGCTCCAGTGCGCTCGGCCTCACCGACCCCGCCGCCGCCTCCGAGTTTGCCTCCCCGGAGGCAGGCAGTGGCGGAAACGGCGCCGACGCCGTCGGCGGGGACCCTCCAGAAGAGGCGCTGGCGCCAAAGCAGGGCGTGGAAGAAGGAGCAGCAGGCGCTGGTGCATACGGCGGCTCCGCCCCCACCCTGGAGTGCCTGAGCGTCGCAATGGACAAGCAGGAGGTCTTCACGGACGACGAGGCGGGCCCGCCTGCCGTGCTGGCTGCTGCCAAGGCGGCGCGCAACCACGAGAAGCGGTTGAGGAAGAAGGAGCGCAAGGAGATGGTGCTGCAGCGGGACCGCTACAGGCCTGGTTGGCACCACGAGAAGGAGGCGGAGCTTGTGTCTCCTGATCCTGAGGCCAAGAGTCGTGGCCTCCTTTGGGTTCAGGAGCAGATCGAGCTGCGCCTGCGGGGTGACCTCGCGGGAGCGGTCGTCGACGACGAGCTGCAGGGGGCCTGAGCAGGGATGCTAGCTCCAGTTCCTGATTGAGGCCTCTGCTGAGGTCGGTTTTCGGCGCGCTTCAGGTGAGCTGCCGCTGCCAGGCGGCAGTGTACGGAGGCTCGGCCCACGGGGGCCCTAGCGTTTCGGCGCTTTCAGGGTCCCGGCGTGCCTCTGCAGTTCTGTCTTCTCTGCCCACAGCGGCGGTAATGGGACGTTTGCGGGGCAGGCCCGCATGCATGCTCTCTGCTCTCTCTCTCTCTCTCTCTCTCTCTATTCTTGAAGTATTGTTGCCTTGAGCTTATTTAAATATAAAAAAACACGCGGACGGACTCAGACAACACTGGGCCCCGTGCGGGCGTCATTGAATTCACTTCGAACCCTCTGCCCATCAGACCCTCAAACGACATGTTGGCTCTGATTGAGTAGTCCGTCGAACACTATCGACGGCCTTTGGACCTCGCCTCTTCGCAAATGCCTCCAGCGCGCCACAAAACCATGAGTTCGCCGTGCGCTGGATCCCACTGCTCTGTCAAACAATGCGATCTTGAAAATTCTCCATGGCCACCCGAAAACCACCCTACTGATGCGGAGCAGCGAAGTAGTCCACGCGAGAGAAGCCCACCAGTGACCCACTTATCCAATTCCTCGGACTCGCTCGTAACTCGTCCACTGCTGCCGACCAATATCCCGAATTAGCGACTGCATCACCACTGCTACGAACATGTGCCTTGCACCGACGAGTGCCACACTGCCCGCACCACCAGCGTGCCACAACTTCCAGGGTGAAACGGCACATGTTGCGCGACATGGCGCAAACGCCAGAGCATGATCCCCGTGTGTGTTTAAAGAGATACTGTGTCCCGCCCCATCTTGACCAGCGTGTTCCTGAGCGAATGATGATCGTGAAGGGCAGATCACAAGAACGCAATCGGAACATTGCACATCATTGCTCAAGCACAGGCCCAGCAACGTCCAGCACAATGATGACCTGATATTGCTACGAACCCAGACCTTGGAGGACAAGTGGGCGTGACTTGTGAGGAAGAGCAAAACAAAGAAGAGCATGCCTATACGGCACATAATGCTGATTCCAATGTTGTCCGGATGACGCTGTGTAGTTTTGAGGCACATTATGCTAGTTCCCGTGTCGTCCGTTCGACGCTGTGCCACTTTGTCGGGGCGTCTCCGACCATCTTGGAGCCCTCTTGGGCAGTCTTCGGGCCCTGGGGCGTCTCCGACTATCTCGGGGCCCTCTTAGGCAGTCCTTGGGCTTTCCCAGGGGCCCCTGAAGGCTTCCTGGAAACCTCTTGGAAGCTTCTTGGGGCCTCTTGGGGGCGTCTTGGGACCTCCTGGGGGGTTCTTTGGGCGGAGAGCCCAAAATGTTGGTCCCTGCCCCCCCTCTGGGACCCCGCCGTCTTGGGGGCGCCTTGGGCCGTCTGGGCGCTCTCGTGGGGGCCTCTTTACGCCGTTTTGGGGCGATCGTTGGGGCCTCTTGGGCCTCCATGAAGCGTCGGGAGGCCGACAAGGCGAAAAAGCATTTTTTTTGTTTTTTTTTACAAAAAAAACATGAATTTTGACTCTTGGTGCTCTCTTGGGAGCCTCTTGGAGGCCTCCTGGAGCGTCCTGGGGGTTTCCTGGGCCGTTTGGAGGGCATCTTGGACCGTCCGGAACGGTCGTTGAGCGACTCGCGGCCCTATTGGACCATCTTGCCGACCATCTTGAGGCCGTCCGTGCCGCCCGGAAACGCGTCCGCCGAAATGGAACCGACAGCGGCCGTCTTCCGCCGGCTTCTGCAGGCGTTCCGCCCGTGGCCGGGGCCATGTCCCCGGGGAACAAGAAACGAAGACCCCTCCGCAGAGTCGGGGAACAAGGCAGCGGCGCGCAGTAGGCTCCCAGACAGCAGAGCGACCACGGCGACATCGCACGCACGGGTAGCACTCTGGATGCAAGTCCTGCCACGGCGGCGCATTTCGAGTGGACATAGACCCAGAATCGGACGGCAGAGGCAGGGGGCGGCCTTCTGGGGGGG